CAGCCTGTACTTCGCCGGTCGAGGGGTTCGTGCGCTGTGTCGATGGTGCTCTGAGACCGGCGAGGAGAATCATAGTCTGGACGTGCTCAGTGGGCGAGAGGATGAATCGAACGATGAGGCGGTCGCCGGACAGGACCTTCTCAATGATGGCTATTTGGGTCAGCTCGAAATCAATCAGTTCAGCGGTTTCCTTACCATCGAGCTCTTTGCCCTTGTTCTCCTCGACGAACTGCTGGGGGTTGCTGAGCTCATTCGACGAGTTGATTCTACCCCCCGTCTCTGCCCAGAGGCCCTTCGAGTCCGCCCTGGCGCGTGCCTCTAGCACCTGGAGTTTCTCAAGCAGCTGTGCATCCTCGTCTGAGTCGCCTTTGCGACCGGCGTCATCGCGAAGCTTGACCCAGCCCTCGGCAACAGCTTGCTCAGGAAGTACTGTGCAGTCCGGCAGGGCAACAATACCGTATTCACGATTGGCGCCAGTCGGGATCTTGTAGAGGACCTGGAAGCGTACGACCTTGCCAACGAGGAGACGGCGGAGATAGTCGCGTGACTCAAAGGCGAATTGCTCGTCACCCTCGCGCTTCAGTCTTGGTGCAGTGACGAAGGCTAAGCTGAGGACGCGCTCTGATTTCGGATTGCTGATGTTGTGCAGGATAATCGTGTCGCCAGAGAGTACGCTCTTGACTTTCGCTTCGAAGTGGGAGACAGCCATGATGGGGATTGGAGCTTGACACTGCGGATGGCGCGATTAGCTACCGTGGTCACAAGAGCTCAGCACTGTGCAAGACAATCAAAACAGTATTGCATAGCTGTACTCACCTCGTCAAACTAACAGAGAAGCTAAGGGGAACTGAAAGGAGAGACTGCAATTGATACCAAAACTTCAATTGCAGAAGGGGAAGATGTGATGTGTTGAAGTGACAACGTGGTGCTTAGGTGCTTAGCGGTGTACCCAAAATCTCGCCATCCTAGGGACAAACCGATTGTGGGGTTATTGTCCATTCTAGGCGAAGCTCAAACGTCAACTTGTAGATCTTATCACGCCCCGAACCGATTCGAGACGATCAAAGTGTCAATTTCATGCTCATCCTTTTTAAAAGGATTGAATATTGATATAGGCAGAATTGGATTAATGTATTACCACTAGCCAGCGCTTCACCCACGCCTTCAGCCGCAAAACAATAGCTTGGGTATATGCAAAACACCAGTAAGCAAGTCATGAGACTATCCATAGGCCGCTCTCTCCGTATAAACACACCACGCAAGGGGGAACCGCATGCCCTATCTCCAGACCAATTATCCAGACAATATCGCCTCTTCATCTGATACTCTTACAATGGTGTTTTACAGCACACCAGTTTGCGCTTTTGTTCCAACCAAATAATCCAGACCATATAGCGAGCGCTAAGCAACAAAGTAAATATACAAGCGATAGACAAAGGAACAAATTTCAAACCGAAAACGCCGTCATAATGCGTGAGTCATTAGATGTTGATGGACTTAGTGTCCTAAGCAACGTAAGCAGGTGGAGCCTCTAGCTCATCCGCTGAAGCCCATATGCCTCCTGTGGGGGCTTTTGAGCTTCTAGCCAAGGGCGACCTGTCTCGAGAAGAGCCCTCGCGGTCCTTTTCTTGTTGCACCTTCCTTGCGATCTCTTGTGCCATCTTCATCATCCATGCCTGTTCGAGGATGCCACCGGAGCTCTCGGCCTCGTTCGGTGGTGATGTGAGTGCGATCTTGTCGAACGACAGGGAGCGGAGGAGCGGTGACGTAGACTTCTGGGCCTGGCGGATTTGATTGTGCGACAACGGTGGTCGTTTCGAGGAGGTGCGGGGCTTGATCGTTTCGTCGTTGTAGAGTTCACGCTGCTTCGACTTTGATCTTGACGATCTTGGCGGTTCCGAGAGGAGAGGTGCGGCGGGGAGTAATGTCTCAGTCGATGCTGTATTGTCCGCAAGTCTGCTTGGTTCGCCGTAGTCTAAGACACCGTGCGGTCCTTCGTGTCGTAGGCCAGGGTGGACTGGGCTTCGAGGTGGCGTAGCCACCTCTCCAGCGTCCCTTTCTTCATGCATGACACTCGAGGTCTCGGAAGCGTAAGTGCTCGCCATCTCGCTGTGGGCATCGACTGATGCAGTAGCGGTACTGGCTCCGTCGGTCTTCTTGCGGAGGTTCACGACACGCTTCTTGCGCTTGCGCATGCCACCGGCGCGTGATCGTCCGGCACCGAGAGTTAGGCCTGACATGGAGTAGGTAGAGGAAACAGTTGGGCGTGAGTCGTGTGTGTCATGAGTGTCGTGCGTGCCCTGGCTTCCAGAGGCGACAGAGGATGCACCTGACCTCATGCTGCCGAAGGTGGATTGTATCCTGGATAAGCTACCTCTTGTGAGCGCTGGTGTAGCGATGCCTGAAGCGTCTCGATCAGGCCCGGCCCAGGCACGGAAGACGGCGTCTCGAATCCCAGGTGTGAAGAGCGACAGAGTGCGTTGCGATTCCGAGAGGGCGGCCAGACGAAGGATGTTCTTCTGCGAAAAAGAAGCATGGATCTCGCCAACTGGATCAAGCGCGATCTCCGAAATTTGAGACTCGTCAAGAGGGTTGCCGAATGCATCGACAGCGTCTTGTGGAGGTGTCGCCAGAGGGTCTACGGCAGCGGTGCCGTCCTTGGTACCTTCTAACCTTTCTTCGGTCTCTATTTCTTGGAACTCTGGTGAGCACAGACGTAGTGATAGTCGATGGATGATGGCAGGAAGATCTTCCATGAATAGCACTCGCAGCTGCCCTTCAATTTCCTTCTGCAAGTAGTCGCGAACAAAAGGGATCGAATCGAATGTTGATGACACCTTCAGGGACTCCAAGGGGTCGTTCCTGAACACCAGTGTCAAGCCCTTTTGTTTTGAGAAGACCAGGATGACGAAGCCGGATAATCGGAAGTTCGATAACGTGATGGACAGCGGTATTGTCAGGCCGGATGCTGCTGCTAACGGCTGTGGGGACGCGAAGTCCGGTTTTGTTGACAAGTGCGTCTTGAGCGGATTGACCTGCACCTTCGTCTTCAGCGTCAGGAATGCATCACCAGTATACGACATTTTGAAGATGCCTCTAAAGCGATCTTCTGCCAGATCTCCGATTTCCAAAATCTCCAGTTCTGGTGGTGTTGACCCAAGGTTGAGTTCGGTGACGATGATGTCGTCAACGATGATAGGCGGCTTCGGCGATTTGTTGAGCGCCGTTGTGAGCATGTCTCGCGCGCGCGAGGTGTCCGCCAGGAGTGGCGACCAGTTGAAGTTGAACGCCATGGCTGGTTGTTGTGCCTAAGTGTGCAGGAAGCGTCGAGGCTCCGAGCGACGAAGGGTACCGGTGCGTGGGTTGATGGGTGGCAGCTGGGGTGTCGCGTGCATGCCTTTGATCTTGGTCGCCGCGTGAACGGGTCTTGGGCGCACGGCGGATCCGGGGGCTGTGTATGGATGGGAAAATGCCGTCACCGGGTGGAGGATGGTTAGCGACGTGCTGCGATGATGCTCGTCGGCCGCGCAGGTGATGGTGGAGTGAGCTGTGAGGGTACAGCAGGAATTTCTCGGATATGGGGAAAGACTCGGGAGCCTTAGGGATCGGTGGCTATGAGCTCAGCGCGCAGGGAACCAACTTTTGCGCGGCAACCGTGCACCACTCGCTAATGCAGGGCTGAACTCCGGACGAACCGCGGCAAGCTTGTGAAACACAACAGAAGTTCGCCAGTAAATAGTATTGATAGGTGGTCAGCGGCTCGACATCAAAGAGCGATGTTCCGTTATTCATCAAGAACTCGGAGGCAAGCATGACCCGTCAAGCCTGTCTCGCATCTCCCTACCGAGCAAGCATCCTTAATTTCGAGTGACGCGCATCCATGTTGAAACCCTTCCAGAAGACTACCCACTCAGCCAGCAACCCCAGCCTCACTGGCACAGCAGTCTAAAAGTAGCCAATCGAAGAAAAGGGGTCGGCAATTTATCGATAATGAGTCACTAAGGCCAGCAGAATGCTTGTGATTAACGTGGGGAAGTATGGTAGCGCGTTGTTTTGTGTTGTGCCTGGACGTGATGTCTTGTTGTGATACTTGAAGCACATATAGCCTTCCGTTCAAAGTCCCGCTGCGGACTCAATGCAAAGGTGTGGAAGAAGACTCAGTCATCATCCTTCAACAGCTTCTCTACGGCCTCGACCTTATCCTTGAAGCCTTGCTTCTTGTCCGTCCTGGTGCCAATCCTGATGTCGCTCTGAATCCTCACAATACCGTTCTGATGCAACAGAGCATGGCACTGTCCAATAACTCGCATGCAATCATCCCATGAGCCCTCTGCATATGGTCAGTAAAGAGGAAGACTTTGATCGACAATACATACCAAGAGTTGTCCCTGCCGAATGCATCGAGTAGTTCAGTCCACTCCTCTTCAAGATCCTCTGCACCTCTGCAACCTCCTTAGACACACTCGCCGTCGGTGTGCCCAGTGGAATCAAGCAAAAGTCTGCCGTGCATGACGGTGGTGTCTTGATGTCTGAGATGTCGTTGCTCGCCATGTTTGGTTGGATGGTGTTGCTTCGTGCTTGAGCTGCGAGGTTGGTGGGGTACTTCGTAGAACGCTTTCAGGGTCTTCAGAGCTCACTTCATGGCCTGATCGCGAAACAATATATGTGGATTCAAGATTGAGCACTTTGAACTAGATGTTAGGAAGCTAACTAATGTGTTTGGAGCTCAAGACCATCCATTACATCTCTATTGTAAACACGCGCAGCAAAACTGGTGAGGCTGGGCTCTCGGCCAAGTAGTTAGGGCTTGAGACAAGTTCGCTCCAGGAGGTGGGGTGCATTTGCCCTAAGCTAGATCACAGACTGGAACCAAAGTCCTTTGGTAGGGAGGGAGCTGTTCAGACGAAATGATATGAATCTCGGCAAGATTATGATGCCTCAGGCCATTGCTATATGATTATATATTATTAAATCCTCGGGAACCCATAAATCAAGCAATTGGTTCGATGGTGTAGTTGGTTATCACGTCAGTCTAACATTCTAGTTGGGTCACTGAAGGTCTCCAGTTCAAGTCTGGGTCGAATCATTTTTTGCCTCTACAGGAGGTCCCCGTGGTGCGCTAGTCTTGTCTTGCACTAAAACACCAACTTTTAAAATTTAGGTAACGTAAAGCACCACCGAGCCGGCAACTTTTTCTTGGCATTGCGAACACCACGTACAAACAACAATGGCTCAACAACGCAAAGCTAAGCTACTCCAGCAAGAAGGCAGGATAGACCTCGCACTCCAGGCGTACGAATCAGGTCAATTTAAGAGCGTGCATCTTGCTGCTCTAGCATACAACGTCCCACATCAACGGCTCTCTGATCGGCAGAACAAAATCACCTTCCGGCTGTCTGCTACGCCCAACGGCCGAAAGCTCTCTGCGACAGAAGAGCAAACGATCGTACGATACATCCTTGACCTTGATTCGCGTGGATTTGCCCCCGGCTGTGTGAGGTGGCAGATATTGCAGATAAACTGTTGGCTGTACGTGGTTGGTTGGTTGGTTGGTATTCGATTTTCGTCCATAGGATGGGGATTAAGTCCACCATCACCGCCTCCCGAAGGGCATATAGGACGTGCTAAGCTATGGAATTACAGTGCTGCCACACTACCTTAGAAAGCATTTCTTGCCTGCGCGGGTATTGCTACCATTTCAGAACTACAGCTCCCCTTCCAATTGGGGAGACTGAGCAGTGTGTGTACATCAGGGTGGTTCCCTTGTGTGTATTCAGAGGCGGTTTGAGTGCCTGGCTGTACGTGGTGGGACACCTATTGGCAAGAACTGGGCTGAGCGATTTGTGTCGCATACGGAAGAACTCAAGATGGCTTTCAATCGCGCAAAGGACCGTCAGAGAATACTCCAGGAAGATCCAGAGGTTATCAGCGCGTGGTTCAAGCTCGTACAGGAGACAAAAGACAAGTATGGGGTCCTAGATGAGGACATCCACAACTTTGATGAGACCGGCTTCCAGATAGGAGTTATTGGCTCAATGAAGGTTGTTACAGGCTCAGAGAGGCGTACAAGACCAAACCTTATTCAGCCAGGCGATCGGGAGTGGGTTACAGTTATCCAGAGCATCTGCGCTGCTGGGTATGCTATCCCACCCTTCATTATCTACAAGGGGCGTGTCCACATCTCTGCCTGGTATGAGGAGACTAATATACCGTACGACTGGAAGCTCTCTGTCTCTGAGAACGGATGGACAAACAACGCGCTTGGTCTTGAGTGGTTGAAGCATTTTGACGTGCATACAAGAGCGCGTCAGAAGGGGTTGTACAGGCTGTTTATCTTGGACGGCCATGAGAGCCATCTCAACCAGAATTTTTTTTTAAGGACTACTGCCTGGAGAACAGAATCTTAACCCTCTGTATGCCTCCTCACTCATCACACATACTTCAGCCACTTGATGTGGTGTGTTTCTCACCGTTGAAACTGAAGTACTCCCAACGCGTACGAGCCTTGGCATCCAAACGCGTCTTCCACATTAACAAGGAAGGCTTCCTCCCAGCCTTTAGAGACGCGTTTTTCGACGTGTTTACGTACAATAACTGCAAGAAGGCCTTTCAGGCATCAGGACTAGTGCCTACTGACGCGCAGGTAGTCATTGATCGGCTTGAAGTGCGATTTCATACCCCTCCACCAGTACCTCTACTAGAAACACCATGGCAATCCCAAACACCAAGCAATACTTACGAATTTGGGTCGCAGTCAAAGCTTGTAAGCGAGCGCTTCGTACGGTCACCAACATCTGCTCAGGAAGGGTTCTCAAAGCTAGTAAAAGGAGCTGAGGAGATGCTGCATGAAAATGTTCTTATTAAGGCTCGTGTACGAAAGCTTGAGGAGCAATTAGCAGAGGTTACTAAGCGCAAAGGGCGTAAAAGAAAGCAGATTCAGTATGGTGGGACAATAGAGTATGGTGCTGCAGCGTTGTCTGTAGCTGAGAGCGCAGCTGCAGCTCGTACGGTGTCAAAGAGAGCGCGCAGTGGTAGTGGTCAAGAAAGAGCCCAGCCAGGTCAACGGCACTGTGGCAACTGTGGAAAGACTGGGCACAACGCTCGTACGTGCCAAAAAGATGCAGAAGAAGATTCTGCATCTAATACAAGTGCGTCGTACGCGGGTTCTGCAGAGGGTAGTAAGTAATTGCTTGTTTTGTACATGGTGTTCGCAATGCCAAGGAAAAGTTGCCGGCTCGGTGGTGTTGCTGGCTCGGTGGTGCTTTACGTTATGTCATATAGTTAATAGCTGTTCGTCTCCGCCATCAAAAAGCAGTGCGACAGACAATTCGTCTACCCTGCAGATGGATCTGTCATGCTCTCAAACATCTAAAGTAAGCGGTTGCGTATATCGACTTTACCGGTTGTGCACGACGCTTTGAGGGACGTTTCTGTACGGTCTCCCAGGCGTGGCACTGATTGGAAGCCCATGCAGCCCGTGACTAACTTCCGTAGTCTTGTCCGAGTCTGCTCTAAGATGAATGATTGAAGAAGGCCACAGCATATCTGTGTTGTTGATTACATCTCAGTGCAAAGAGTTCGAGACGTAGTATAGCATATCGCTGGGTATCATTTGGTCGTAACTCTCAGCCGTGTACTCTATCATGGCTCGTCCGGGACTTTTATCTCTCCCATGGACCTCAGGTTCTTATAGGCACTCTTGCCCTGAACATCGCTAGAGCATGAATCACCATACACTCCTTCTGACCTCTAAGCTTCCTCACAAATACTTCTTCGCTGCAGCCGCAACCCTTTGCCTAAACACAGGACTCTTGACCACATCCCCATTCCCGACCTGGAAGAACGGACTCATTATGGTCTTCATCCACGCCTCATACACATCCACAAAGAAGTTCTTCACCGCCTCCTCTGTCGCTGGACTCGTTGGATTGTACAGTCCTTGCCCACCACCCAGTGCTGCTCTCCCACCTGCCAAACTCCCCCGCGCACCACCTCCACTCCCCGTCAGCCCCAGACTCTCATCGCGCGGCCGTGTGAGCAGCAAAAATCGTGTGTTCGCCCCTGTGATCCAGCACGAGATGTAGCAGTTCTGGTACTTGTCGATGTGCTTGAGGTACATGGGCGCGCTACCGGAGGATGTCGAGGGCCCCCATTGTACTTCTTCGACAATGTCGAGTGCAGAATGTAGGATGAAGGGGACGAGAGCGCGTTCAGCTGGTGTGAAGCGTGCGGCGCCGTCACCGCCTGAGCGAGAGGTACCGAAGTCGTGGGTGAAGAGGGGGACGTCGAGGGGAGAGAGGATCGAGAAGGTGTAGGACATTGCGAGTGACTTGCGGCCTTGTGTGAGAGCGAAGAGGTGGGACGTGTCCCTTATTTTCAACTTTTCAGGTATCTGCTTTTCGCGAGCTTTGTTGATCGTATTGCTTGTGATAGTTACGATGCTCCACGATGAGCTCCCCACGCTAAGCAGAAACGCCAAGCAAGTCTGCGCGAGGCTTTCACATCTTCAACTGCACAACGCTCCGCAGCACGAACAGCCACATCCACAATGTTCGGCCCCTTCCGTCTCACAAACCCGCTGTCAGGTGGTTTACTCTGGTGCGCACTTCCCCCGACCCCGATATTGGCCCCTGTTCAGTCTTGAGACTGTAGTGGCGACGATACAGAAGTTAACAGCTCTCAAGGAAAATCCCCTGGCGCCTGTCCCGCCACCAGAAATACCGACACCGCGAGCGCCTACGAAATGTGGACGGCGTTGTTGCGACACTGGATAATGCACTTGCCAGGACCGGATTGAGCATGAAGAGGGTGGACAGGTGGAAGATGGAAATGCCGACCGAGCAGGAGATGTTGCCCAAGGACAAATACACAGTCTTCGACAGGAAGGTTAAGAGATACAGGAAGGGAATTCACAGTGAGTTGCTCTCTTCTCCAAGAGTTGAGATGGGACTGGTGCAGTTGCGTACGAGGTCGGACATGAAGAGAGCTGAGATTGGCGAATTGAATGTTCAGACTTTGAACAAATGCTGACAATTTGCAGAGGTTCCAAAGTGGACGAGAGTCAGCCAGAGATTGAACCCCCCTGGTTTCTGAGCGGAGAACGATGGCGTTGTGTATACTATGTGTTTCTCTACGGTCTGCATCGGCAATGGCGCTTCTCTGGAATCAAAGACACCCAATTTGGCATTCGCCTACGTTGGCTACCACGTCCTCTCTTTAATCTGTCTAGGAGCTCGGATCACACACCGTCTTAAATATGTGCGGTTTGTATCAATGTTTGTGTGTTGTGCAAACACAGGTGACTTGTATCCCCGCCGTTGGCTCAAGCCGCCCGTCACCGCTGCTTTAGGTCCCAGCATCAGGTCAACACTCTCTCACCTGCGCAAAGATCAGTGGACCTTGATCACCCTCTTCCTTAACTTGCAGTCTTGTCAGCCTTGTCCTCACCTTCTCCATAATTTGACGCTCTCCATCACCTAGCCAACCACTCCAACCAACTCTTTGAACCACGAGTCTTTCTCACAAAGCTTACATTCTGCCAAGATTTTGACCAAACAACCCACATTATGTCGCAGCCACCACCCGCATGGCGTGCCTTGCGTGCAAAGCATCAGGACGAGATTGACGCTCTCCAACGCGAGATCGAGGCAAACAGGAGAGACTTGGATCGTCGTGTCACAGCGGCGCACGCTGGCCTGCTCGCAAGACACTCCCAGCAAGAGAAGGATTTCTGGCGGCAAGCCTCGAATAATTCCAATCGTGCTTTACCTACACATCAATTGGCAGCTGCGAATGTGCAACCGATCACCGCCAAGCTGAGTGCCACTTCAGCCCATCAACATCAGAAGCTATCGTCTACATCAGGTTCTCCGGAGAATCAAAAAACGAGCACTCAGCCAGCGGGCGCATCGTTCGAAGCCTTCGACAGTCAGAGACGGCGAACGCAGACTACACTGTCTGCCTCTGCGGCTCAACGACAAACGGAGCATTCACTTAAGCCGTCATTAGAATGTTGCCCGGCTCAGCGACGGAATAGGGAAAAAGCCGTGCGGACTGGAGGTCGCCAGCCCCCAAAATCAAGTCAAT